ATAACTATTACTAGAGATCATAAAGGCAGTCATCTGCAAGGGCATGTGCCAAGTTGCAACAGTAGAAAGACAATCTTGATGTTGAATAATTCAACTGTACTGCGAGCTTCTGCTTCATTTCCCTCTCTGTAAATGTGGTACTGTAGAGCGGATACACAAGCCGAAGGAGAGTTGAAGTCTCCATTAACGACTACTGAAGCCATGCCATGGTATCCAAATTATCCTAGAGGAGAGTTGGAGTCTCCTATAGCCGCCATCAAGAGCCGAAGACTTGAAATACCCGGTTGACCTCATTGTTTGTCTGTGATTTAGTTGGGTGCTTTTGTCCAATGCTTATGAAAGCCTTGATTCGATACTTGAATTTCTTTGCCCACAAAAAAAAAAAAAAAAACACTTGGATTTCCTTCTGGCCAAAAAAAAAAAGAAAAAGAGAACCGTTCATTTCCTTGGTAGTTCTGAAATAGTTTTGTTTGATATGGAAATGTATTTGAATCCATTTTATGTTCAAATGAATTAATAATAGTGCTTGGTATAAATGAATTTGAAAAAAATGTGGAATTCATTTGCAAATTCGTACTAGCTTGGTCCCATTATGAAGTATGGAATTCAACTTACAATTTTAGTCTAAACTTGCATTAGGTATTTAGGTGGTTTGGCTTAGCTGTTGTACTAAAGTTTAATAGATAGCTTTGACTGCGATTAAATTCAATAAATAATTTATTAATTATATGATTTATTTCAATTTAGTTTAAAATTAATTTTTTTAAAATGATTTATAAACTATCAATTAAGTTTTAAAATGGTCTACTTGATAAACATTTCGTTAACCTAGTTAACGGAATGTTTGTCTAAACAAGTTAGTGTAGACAAGTTGCTCCCTAAGTTTTTAAAAAATGTTAAATATAGTACTTTTTTTTTTTTGCAATATTTTGTTTTTAAAGTTTAAATTCTATATCAAAAGTAATAATTAATTAAGATAATAATTTTAACTTACGTTGATCAATATTTTAATTTTAATTTATAATGATCAATATTGTAATATAAATTTTATTATTTCTTAAAAAACTTAATACTATTATTAAATTACATATTTTTACACTAATTTGTAATAAGAAATAAAAAATTTTATTTTTATTTTTAACACTAATAATATATGCATGATTTTAATTTGGGAATTTATAAAATTGAAATGAATTTTTATTTTTTCAGGTAATTTTAATTATATGTGGGTACTCATTTAATTAAATTAAATTTTG